GCACGGAGGGGACACCGGGGAGGCCTGGGGGGGCACCGGGGGAGCACTGAGGGGACACCGGGAGAGCACTGAGGGGACACCGGGGCTGCACTGAGGGGACACCGGGGTTGCACTGAGGGGACACCGGGGCAGCACGGAGGGGACACCGGGGAGCTCGGAGGGGACACCGGGAGAGCACTGAGGGGACACCGGGAATGACACCCCGCGAGCAGCGGGGGCAGCAGGCTGGCTTGTGGCCATTTAGTTACTGCAGGGGATGGGGAGCAGGTGAGGAAAGGGGATTAGGAAGGCTCCTACGAAAACAAGCGGCTTGTCCCAAACGAAATCTGGGTACAGATTGAAAGAGGGGAAATTTAGGTAAGATTCTGGGAAGAAATCTTTTACTGTGAGGATGGTGAGAAGCTGGAATGGGTTGCTGAGGGAGGTTGCGGATGCCCCAGCCCTGGCAGTGTTCAAGGCCAGGTTGGATAAGCAACTTAGTCTAGTGGGAGGTGTCCCTCCCCATGGCAGAGTGGGTCGGGAATAGATGATATTTAAGGTCCATTCCAATCCCTTAACAAATTCTGTGATTCCTAGAGAGGCAGGAACTGAAGTGCTTGAGCAAAGAGGTGCTTCTGAAGGCATGAAGATGTGTCCTGGGAACATGGCATGACAGGCAGTGGGTGCTCGGGACAGACCTCACGAAAATCAGGTAATTTGCTTCCCTGGAGGTTCATACAGCTTGCCTGGCAAATCCCTTTGTTTTCTGGCTCTTGTTTTGCTGTATGTTTTGACCTAATGATAGTTCCTCATTTCAGGGGATTGCAGAATATCTCCTGTGGGATATGTGGGGGTCTGTTACTGCAGAGTGGTGACTGTGATTGTTTAAAGCATTGAACGCTGTTCCCAATGAGCAGTGGGGAATCAGGAATTGTCACATTAGCCTCCTGCAGCACACAGCATTTCTCCCTTGCTGCCAGAAACTGACTACTCTGAATTGTTCAGCCTGCCTCAAACACATGAAGAGTGCCACCTTTCAGGCACAGCAGAGCTTGAGTGTAGGATTCGTGTTTGGGGAACTTGGGGACAGTGAAACAGCTGCCAAGAAGCTAATGACCACCACCCACATGGTCCCTTTCTGTTCCATCTGCTGGTGTGCCTCTGTGACCTGTCCTTTCCTACACCAGCATGCAGCAGCCTGCATATCCAAAATGCAACAGAATGCAAACTACCCTTTCCACGTCAAAGCCCTTCAGTGCACACACACTTCTGCCTTGAGGGAGAGGACAAGAGAGTGGATGGGATGTGACAGATGTCAGTCACATCGCTTAACGCCTCACTGCAAGGCACTGGGGTGCTGCTGCCATGTGGGCAGGGTGAGAGGCAGAACAGCATAAATCTGGAAGAGGAATTGAGACAGAAAGATCAAACACAGCCAAGCTGGAATGTTGCTGGGGCACTGGAGTGCAGAGGCTTTGCGCTGCAAAATGGTCCTGGGGATATGTAGGGACTGTGGGCATTTTCTGTGTCAGCTGACTGAAGTCAGGGAATGGTTGAAGGGTTTCATTCAAATGAATGCACTTTGGGACTGTATTTTAAGAAAAACTCAAAAGAGGAAGGACAAGAAGAAAAAGGCCTCCTACCCTTATTCTGTGAATCAGCATTAATGCCATCAAGGTGTTGCTTCTTTCCATTCTGTCTCCCCAGAGGCATTTCTAAGGCTGGTGGTGATTTCATGCTCCCCCTTCAGAGACACTGACAAAAATGCCTTGATGCAGTTTAAGGACTTACTTGTTGGAAATCTTCTCAGAGCCCACATACAGGGCACTCCTCATGAGTCCAGCCCGAGTGCCCAGAAACGCAATCTCAATGCCTGCCTCGGTGTCCCTGTGCAACAGAAACACACAAGCAGAAGCAAACAGTTCTCACAAGAACAGCCACGATCCCTGCCCCAGGCTGAGAGCCTTTCAAACTTGAAGACACATCTGGAGACCTGGTCCCAGGTTCATTTGCAATAGAACCCATTTACACCAGGAGTGATTGCAGCTTCTCCCTGCTAATGGCAACAGGTTGTTACTGGCTGACAACTGGCAGGTTTAAGACTCGTGCTCAGACTTAAACCTTTGAAGTCTGCTTATTTCAGTCTCTTTTAAGTAAGCCATAATCTCCTCTGCCCCTGCTAGCCCTGCTCCAGGCTACTCTCACAAGGCTGAAGTGCAGGAGAGGAACTGCAGAAGGAGAATGGCTGGATCAGAGATGCAGAGGATGGCCAGGGTAGCAGAATGTGACCAAGGAGTTGGTGTAGCTATTTAAAGCTGTGCTGATCATTGGGGGTCCTAGCAGGATTGTCACTGTCTCAGTGTCTGTTAGCATAGGGATACAGGGAGCTGAAACGGGGACAGGAGTCCAGTGGCCATGTGTATCTGTAAGTGACACGTTGTCTGCTGAAAGAAGATCTGTGGGATGTGATACAAGACACCACCAGCAACAGGTGCCTCGCTGGAAATAACAAAATACAAAGTTGTTTACTGAAGCCAGCCTGTCCGCTGTCTTCCTGAGGTTCAATCTGGAGGTACCACCAAGAGAGACAAGACCAAACTCCCTTTTCTCCACCAGAAAAACCCTCACCAAACTAAAGACTCTCCCGAGGAGGCCCAGCTTACTGGAGTTCACTCCTGAGAGACACTTTTCAATCTATTTCTAAAGCAATGATGCTATTTATATCTGTGTTTTGAGCTATTGCTGCAGTTTCTTGTATGCTGTGCAGAAGTTTGTGACTGTTTCAGGCACTGCATAAGCCCATAGCATCTGGAGATGCATCTTCAGTGGTGCTCTATCCACATTTATATCTCCTACACTTACAAGGACATGTTGAGGGCTAATGTTGTCCAGTAGGCCTCCATGGGGGCAGTGACCACTGCATCGAACAGCACTTCCTGGACCAACTCCTCATCACCTACAGAGAAAAAAAAGATAAACAAAAATCAGGAGAGAAAGATGTGTTTTTCCCTAGAAAACATCTTTTCTTTTAGAGAGTCTCTTGGTAAGGAGCATCTGCCTATCCAGGACAGGGGATCAATGTGGCACAAAAAAGAGGCCTCCCATTACAGGGCAGAGAAGAGGTCCTAACACCAGGGTGGTGGAAAACACAAGAGTAGATGTTAAAGCCAGGATCACAAAATTACACAATCAGTGAGCTTGGGGAAGACTTCTGAGATCTCCAAGTCCAACCTATGACCCAACACCACGGCACTCAGTGCCTCCTCCAGTCTTTCCTTACACACCTCCAGGGACAGTGACTCCACCAGCTCCCTGGGCAGCTGTTCTGAGTACTAATCACCCTTTGCTGTGAAGAATTTCTTCCTAATGTCCAAAATCATCAGACCAGTTCCCCTGCAAACTCTGTGGAAGGGTGGTGCCCACACAAGTATGGGCAAGTGAGAGGCTTTCAAATGAAGTTATTCATTAGACTGTCACTTAATTATTTTATTGAATAGGCTGTCCACAGCTTTTGCTTCAAATCTCTGCCTAGACCTTTCTTCTGGGTATCCTGTAGAGAGGATTCCAGCCAACACCTTCCACTCAAGTAGCTTCCTTCAAAACCACTAGAGACTTTCTTATGGCCTCTCCTCTGTCCCTTTGCTCACTGGCTTCTCTGTTAGCCCTCCTTCCTTCCTGTGAGCCACAAAACATTTTCCTGTCCTGGTTTTCACCAGATGCTCAAGCCAGTCCAGGCTACCAGTCTAATCCACTTTGGTCTGGAGCTAAGAAGTGATTAGGGAAGTTCAAGGTATGATCATGTGCTAAACGACATGCCCCAGAACCCCATTTCTGTGACCTGCTTTGTTTCTGTATTGCCCTCCTTGCACTAATCTCTGAGAACATGTTGCAGAAATGTCCCTTTCAGTGCTGTTCTAGATGGAGCCACCCCATCCTTTCAGTGTTTCTTGTGCTGAAACTTTCTGGGTTGATGTTCCAGGTGTCCCTTAATGTTTTAACTCAAGTTCTCCCAAATTTCTTTGTCACAGATCTCAGGATCCTTCTCTCCATAGCTGCTGTTATTCAAGCCTCAAAATCAGAGCCCACCATGAGATTTTTCCCTCTTCAGGACCCCATGTCTAGGATTCACGTGTTCAAATCATATTTGTTTTTCCTCCACAGCACTTCCAAGCCTGCATATTTCTCCAAGTCAGCTCTCCTGAAACTTTCCTCCTCCCTGGCCTCTTCAACTCATACATCTCTTTCCAGCCTACTTCAAGGACAGCCGGGAGGGGTCTGCTCACATTGTGCAAGAGAGGAAGGATTACTGGATTTTTACAAGATTCCCATTCTTGCACCTAAGGTTTGTGCCTCTCAGGTGCAGCATTACATGCAAAAGCTTGTACTTGGCTCAACTAAGGGGGCTGAAGGACATCCTAAAACCAAACTACTGTAAAGAATTCCCATGCACAGCTGCTCATCTCTGCCCCCTGACAGAGACCACTCTCCAGTGGTGCTGTATCAGCTGCAGGAAAATGGGACCTGGTGCAAGGGATGAGCAGCAGGGGGAGCAGGAAAGATAATAATCCTGTAATCATTTTTTTCTTCTGGATCAGTTACCTGCTGTGTTTGGAAAACAAAATTAATAATCCTTGTTCTGAAAGAACCAATCTCTCCAGAGGGCACTGTGAGCCCTTGGAGGATGATGCCTGGTGTCCCAGGGAAACAGAGTTGTCTCAGCACTTTTCCCGGCTTCTCCTGCCTTTGCCCCCTCTAGGCCAGTCAGTTTGTCTTAAATCTGGTGTGCAGCCCTTGCCAAGCTCTTTTTTCTTTTTTATTGAAGCCTTCCACTTTCCAGTATTTCCTATGCTGAGACCTCCAAAAAAGTTGAATTATATGTCAGCTTTGAAATGGAAAAAAATCTTCTGACAGAGACAAGGAGGTGGATCCTCAGCTCATTTCTACTTGTGAATTAACCTGGGGCTTGAGTTCAGTCTCCACTTGTGAATTAACCTGGGGCTCGAGTTCAGTCTCCACTTGTGAATTAATCTGGGCTTGAGTTCAGTCCTGCCTGTGTCAGCAAGTGCCACAGGGGCTCAGTCTGACACCAATCAGTTTGTCACAGTCCCCTCTCCCTTGTGATGGGTACAGGAAAACCCCAGCGGGGCACTTGCAGTGCCTGGGACTCACATTCCAGGTCAGGCTCCTCTCCAGTGAGGAAACGGATCACAGCCTCCAGCTGGCTGAGCTTGCGGTGGTCGGGATCGATGTCGGTGATGCAGTAAATCCTGGTGGGAAGGGGAGAAGAAATCCAAAAAGGCAAAGAGAAACCACAGTCAAACAAATGCTCCTGCATGATAATAACTGCAAAAAGAAAGCCAGCAAGAAACCCTGCTCTGCAAAGTCTTTACCATTGCTGCGTGTTGTGCCCACTCTATATTGAACAGTGTGGCTGAAAGTCAAACCCAAACACCAATTAACCTGACTGCTGTGCTCAGGAGGGTTTGCTGTGCTCTCCAGCATAAGCTCCCAATGCAACAGAGCTGTTCCAAATCTGCCAGCGGTTTCCTGGGTGATGCTGTGCAAGATGTGTTTGTGTGCCTGTACAGGCAATAACAGTGTGATGGAGAGACCTGAAAAGCAGAGGGTCATGGGTAATGTGAGACCAGACCAAGAGGAGAAAAAATAAGAGACAGAGGAACAAAATGTGAGGTGAGGAGTGGTCTTGCAGTGTGGTATGGCGACAACAAAAGCTGTCCCACGGGGACACATCTGCAGGAGCCTCAGGACACAGTTTGGGGAGAAGTGGAAGAATGTATTAGAAATGCTCTGTGCTATAAAGGAAACCAGCCTTGTAATCCTGCTCCCAGTTTTGACCGCTCCATTGTCAGGACAAGGGAGAGGAAGGGGTTATAAGAGAGAATTAAAACTCATAAAGGGGCTGAAAGGAGTGATTTATGAGAAAAGTCTAAGAGAAATGAATATGTAAAGTGTGGTAAGCTGACACCTGAAGTCAGGAGTAGAAGGAGAAGTCGCTGTTTGTGTCTCAAATGTGCTGCTTGTGAAACTTGACAGTGTAATGAGAGGTGAGAAGGGGTGCAGGGCTGCTTGAATATAGTTATTTTGGCTTTGGTACAGCCTGGGTTCATGTGACTGAGTGGGACTGAATGTTGGGTTCATGAAAACCCCAAACCTCACAGCAATAAATGGAAAGTGCCGTGCTTCACCCTGTTTCAGATCCAAACCAAGCAAAACCATAAGTTCTGCTTGCTATTGAAACAGGGGTCATAAATCACCTCCGTGTTCACTAGAAGTTAGGTCTAGGCTCAGTTCAGATGGATGCCAACCAAAAATAAACTAGGATTTAAAAAAGCACTTCAATCTCTCACCGAGCTTGCAACAAAATTCCCTAACAGGTCTGACATAGTGTAGGTTTTGTAAGACAATTCTGAGCAACACGAGGAGGAACAAAGTAAGTCTGAGCACAGATGACTGAGGATACATCTCAGCTGTTTCTTAGGAGAGGAATGTGCCAGGTCTTGGTGGGATCTCCCAAGGGAGGAGGTGAAGCTCAATTGCCTGGAGACAATCAGGTCTTTGCAGGTACAGCCCCTGAACAGCATTGCTTTTTCCCTGGGCCACAGAGGGTGCTGAACTCAAACCAGATTGCTGGGAACTTTGCCCAAATACCATGACAAAGTCCTGTGTCACTGACAGGATTTCCTCCACTTACCATTCATTTGCTAAAGACAGGTCTGGCTGGAGCAGGTCGTGCAAACCTGAAAGCAGAGAGCACATGGGGTATTCAGTGAGGAAGCAGACAGACACATGCAGGCTCTGAAGGAGAAGTGGTGACATTCAGAGTAGCTCCCTTGTCCCTTCCAGAGGAACCCACCTTCTTCCACTGAAGTGTTCCCCAGCAGAATGTACTCCCCGTGCCCCCTGGACAGCACAACACCCAGGCTGCAGGCAAGAAGGAAAACAGAGGGCTTGTCAGCAAGGAAAGGGGTCATTCCCTGCACTTACAGCCCTTAAAGACATTAACTCCCTCCACAGCTATTAAAGAAAAGAACATCATCAGAAGAGGATTAAGTGAGATCTGACTTCAGCACAGGGAGCTAAACAACCTGTCTGTAGAGCTATGAGACATTGCTGGGGACAGTTTTTTTGGCCAACATTGTAGGTTCAGGTCAATGATAACATCTCTCAAATCTCTGCCAGTTTCAAACCATTTCAGCTGGGGGAATAAAACCAACACCCCTCGCTCCCCTCTTCCCCCACACAATTTGCTTCATTTGTCATTTGTTGTTTTATAATTTTCAGTGCACAACAATGTTGGGGTTTTTTAAAAGCCATACACCAGAACTGTATACTGTATTCAGTGGAAATGAAAATTTAAGCTGCCTCATTTCTCTGAAATGAAACAACGTGCTTTACCTAAGGTATAGCTTTCAGACTCTGAATTTCAGGTAAATCATAGTATTCCTTTTGAATTTACCCCAAATAATATTTTAATGTCGATAGGAACAAAGAAGTCAGTTATTCCTACTGCTCTACTCATGGCTTTAGCAAGATTTATGAAGAGAAGGGATTGATCTGCTGTCCCTGATCAGACTTCTGATACACTGTATTGGTGCCACGAGTCCTTGCTCACCTGAAGGGTGTGCCACTGATGTCAGTGAAGAAATAATCATTGGTGAGGAAGAGAACCCGTTTCTGAAAGAAGAGAATGAATAAGAGAGACCATGAGGCAGAGAGAGCAATGATGGGGACCTGGGATGATGTCCCCAAGGCTGAGCAAACCAACCCCTCACACCCTGCTAGGGCTGCCTGGAGGCTGGCATGAGTGTCAGTATTCAGCATATCCAGCACCTCCAGACTTTCAGGATGCAGGCAGCCACTCTATCTTTCCAACAAGGGCTTCAGATAAACCCTTCTTTGTTCCAGGGCTGCACCGGCTGCAGGAAGGGCTGGGGGGAAGCTGCCCTCCCTCTTGCCTCCAAGCACACGTGCTGGGGCCCTGCTGCTCTTCTGCTCTTCCCTGACAGCTCTGTACATCATCATCATCATCATCTCCAGCAGGAGGGGGGCTCAGGGCAGATAGGAAGGAGGGGTGGAGTTGAAGGAGAGGCAGAATTACAAACCTATCCTCTGCGTGGGTGGGCAGCCAGGGCCAAGTCTCCCCACTCCTGTGGGAAATGCTGATATTCCTGACATTTACTTTCACGCCAAAGTGGGACAAAACGTTAGCATATTCCAATTTTGTTAAAAAAATCAGTTAAAAAAAATTTACATTTTCAATTTGGGAGAAAAGTGCCTTTTCAAATCCAAGCCATTTTGATTCGCACGCAAATATTTTTTTTCAGACTGACATTTCAACTGAAGACATTTCAGATTATTGAAAGCTGCTTCAGAACTTCATCTGTTTGCCAGACTGGCCTTTTCCTGTAGGAAAGTGTTGATTTCAGTGGAACGCTTTTCCAAAGGAGAAAAGTTTCTGGAAAGTTTCTATCCAAGCCTTATGCCAGTATATGAACCCTAATATGTTTAAAATCCTAGAGCCAGTCTGAGAATGAGGTGAGAGGATGTGTGTGGGAGACAGGGGAGCAAACTCAGAAAACTCAGTGTTCCCCAGGGAAAGCCTGCTCTAACCTGCTCGAGCTGAGCGGCCCTGGAAGTGGAGCGAGGCGCAGAGGCTCCAGCTCCACAGTGTGCACCAGGTTTGTGCTCAGTGTGCTGACAGGGATGGGGATATCATTAGGTGTGATGGGCATTCAGGATGTTGTTAGCTGAGGTGCTGGCAGGTGGCTTAACCCCTTTCCTCCTCTCTCTCCATGCGTGGCAACCCTACTGCTGAACAACAGCGTCTTCTGCTGGGCCAGGACCACACAGAATCACAGGATCATTGGGGCTGGAAAAGACCTCTGAGATCACCGAGCCCATCCTTTGACCTATCACCACCTTGTCAAGCAGACCACAGCACTGAGTGCCACATCCAGTCACTTCTGAACACCTCCAGGGATGGTGACTCCACCACCTCCCTGGGCGGTCCATCCCAATTTTTAAATAGCCCTTCCCATGAAGTTATTTCTCTTAGTGTGCAGGATCTTCCAGAGGGCTGTGACACCCCCGAAGAATATCACTTGGTTGTGGTTTGGTGGCTGTGGGTGGTATAAAAGGTATTAACCCTTCCTTTTCTTGCCTGTCTGATCCAATGATGGAGGCGGGGAGGCACAGGAAGGACCTGGCAACTACTCTGAGACCTTTTCCTTTAGCAGGGTTTGTTTTGCTCCTTCTTTTTTCCCCTGACCTGCCCCTCTTCTGGTGAGTGCTCAGCCAGCCCCAAGACAGCTGGAGGCACTGCCATGGAATGGAAGAGGAGCAGAGGCGCCCTTGAGCCAAGTGGGGCTGAGGATGCTCAGGCAGGACTTTGCCACACAGCGGGGATCAAGGGAGGAGAACATGGGCGTGTTGGCACAGTGACAGGGGGCTGACTGCCATCCCCTGCAGTCTGGGAACAGTGGATTGCCAGACTGGAAGCTGTGCTAGGCATCCAGGCCTGGCTACTGCCATTACCAGAGGTTTGCCACAACTCCTAGCCGTGTCCTCTCTCTTTTGCTTTCACAGTCACAGCCCTTCTGTACTCAAGCTGCAAGCAAAGGAACTTCTGCCCCTAGAACTCTCTAACAACTGCCTCCTGTATTTGTTCCTTATTTTTTCCTCTCTATCTCTGTTCTTGATACCTTCCTGATATCAATGGGGTATCAACATTTACGTGGCTGACAGAATAATTTCTATCCCCTTCACTCACGTCTTCTCTCCACAGTCTGGCCGCCTCATCCTCTTTGTTTCAAGGCTCTGTCAGCACTTTCTTTGTTTCAATGCTGCTCTGCTTCATCAGCTAGCAGAGTACAAGTGGGAATTACTAAGCTTCATTTCTGGTTTCCACCCCATGTGTATTCTGATAATAGTAAAACTGACACAGACTCAGCCTCAGTCCCCTATTGTTCTTCATAAGGCTTCCAGAGCTGCAGAATGAAACAAATAATATCTCTTTACCAAGGCTACTTTTTTGTTATCTTCCTTTTCCTCTGGGTAGGGGAGCAGAAGGCTGTCTCTAAAATATTGAACTAAAAGATACCATTGGATGACTCAGAAGAAGTTTTATTGAGGGTGCACAAAGGGGTTTAGCTAGCAAAAGAAGCAATCTAGACCTACAAAGAATAGCTTTTGCTCTAAAACCTTGATTACTTTTCTGATAGAATAATTAAGGTAATGGATGAAGGAAATAAAAGACATGCAATATATATGGGTTTATATAAGGTACTTGAAACAGCTTCTCATGAACTTTTATTCCAAATAATCAGTTAAAGTGAGCATAAATAAGATATGGAGGGAGAACCAGCTGCAGAACTGTAGACAAAAAGAAACAGTAAACAACAGGCCATCGAGGGAAGAAAATCTAATGGGAGGAACAGACTCTGCTTTAGCAGCCCTCCTGTACAGGGATCTATCTGCAAGACAAAATAGAACATTTCTCTGCATACTGAAAAAAGTGTCTCAGCAGCCCTTAAAATTAGAAAGGCTGGATGAAAAGGAGAAGTGGTTTCTGGTGGAAAAATGGCAACTGGAAAAAATAGCTAAGAAACACAGAAGTGAGGGCGGCAGTTCCAGCGCAGCTGTGGGAGGGAGAAAAAAAATGGAAGGGGCAGAAGAAAGGAGACTGGGGGCTCCCTGTTCAGAAATATCCTACTGCAGAGAATAGCTGCTCTGTAGAGAGCAACAGGGAAACAGTCACATAATTCAGTGAAGCCCTGGTACTTGGGCACCAGAAACGACAGAAGAGTCAACAGGAACTACCATGATAGCTGAAAAGTGTGCAAATATTTCAAATGCAGGTGTCAGCAATGCCCAGGAGAAGAAAAGCAAAGGCATCAACAGGTCCAGGAGAATTGCAAACACCAAGAACAGAGAGAAAAAAAATGTAGTGACAAGATCTAGCAGGGCAACCATTCAGAGGAAGCAGAGGGGTGTCTTCATTAGGAAATGGCCCCATTTCAGCAGTGCCTGTGCGCATTTGGTTTGTTGGAATTGGTGCTGACTGTGGCTTAGCATGGGAGCACTGAAAAAAGCTCTCTATAAAGGATGGAAAATTTTCCTGAAATATAGAAGACTTCTGGGCAGTGTAACTTGCAGGACTCTGGAATACTTCCTAACAGGAAATGATGAAAGCCAAAATCTTCGAGAGAGTTAAATAAACGTGAATGAAAAAGTACCAGTGAACATAAATGTACGAGATAATTTTGTACTGATTCCAAAGGAAGATGTATAACTCTGCCCTAGAGCTGGTAGGGAGTGTTCAAAAGTCTCCATTTCACCAGGACTTTCCATAAAATGTCTGCTAATATTTGCATAGAAATTTAATCCTGGACCTGGATAAAGGGAATCGCATTCTGACGAAGTGAGGGACAAAGTTTTCATGAGTGGTTTTGGGTAGGGAAAGAGGGTGGCAAAATAATCTCCAAATCTCCTTCTGTTTAAGTGAGTTCAGCATAGTCTTGCCCTATTCTAACTCTTGAAGAACTCTGATTCATTTCACAGCCCTATGAACAATGAACAGCATGCTTTTTGGCTTTGCCTGGACAGAGCAGGGAGCTGAGAGACATTTCCAGTACCTTTCTGAGAGCAGAATCTTGGTAGGTATAGAGCAGTGCTAACGATGCTCTCTCGTACACCTTTAGCACATGCATTATATATGTGGTGAAACAATAAAATCCTCACTCTCAGGAATGCTGAACATTAAAAACCACATCCTTTGTGGCTTTTCAGTGTCTACTTCCCATCCACTCCCCTGGTGTGACCTGAACAGAAGGATAATTTCTTACCCCTTTGTCCACGGGGACCTTCACATCCATGGAGAGGTAGCCTGTTTCCCCATTGATCATAGCACTTCTCAGCTGCAGAGGTGAACAAATTTGGTGTTAGTGTCTCCAAGCAGGGCAGGAATTAACAGAGCCACTTGTCATTAACACAGGGGCTGGCAGAAAGAATCACTGTTGGTTCCCCCTCCTCCCTGGTTCTGTGTTGCTTCGTTTAGACAGAAATCCTGTTTGCAGTGATCAGAATCCTTGGACAGTCAAGATGATAAGTGGTACACAATAGTAATAGTTTATCTTGAAAGCTTGCTGATATATCTTTTAGCAAAAAGAAAGGATCTGGAATCTATGAAATTGCCAGTCCCAGTTACAGACTTCACTGTTTGGCAGCCAGAAATTCATTAGCACAGTGCTTTGAGAGCCTGGAAGAGGAGAAAACTGAGAAACCCACTAACTCCCTCAGACTGAATCCAAAGCTCTTTGACGTTTCTAAAACTGATTTATAAATTATAGGCTGTGTTCAGCACCACTTCTGAGGTGCAGCAAAGCAGCTGTTTAGCACAGCAAAGCGAGACTGTACGAGAGCCGGGTAGGCAGTGAGACCACTTCATTCAACACAGGTTCCAAAGGTAAAAGGTAATTTTCACAGTGACTCCCAGCCTCTTGCGAGAAAGATCCAGGAAATTTTTCCACAAGTACAGAGGCTTTGACTGCAGGTCCAGCCTGCCAGAGCATATCAAGTCTATTGCTTCAGGCTGTATAGAAAAAAATAAGTGGGAAGTAACTTACTCATTCACAAATTGTTTCCTTACTTCCAGAGACAGGCCTCCATTCAGGTGCTAGCCAGTCTCAAGTGCATTGGCTTTACAAGGCCACGCTTTTGTTTATTATGGCTGTTTGATGTGGGTTATTTACAGACCTAGAATATGAAGCTCATGTTTCCCAAGGCCCACATCTTGGAAATGAAAACACTGACTGGTACTATTACTCCTTTTTTGGCTAAGAGCGTTTGACCTTCTTCCAGAGCCTCAGCATACTCTCTGTTCTGGTCTGACAGCCTGCAGGATTTGCTATGGATTCTGGGTTTAGAATCATAGAATATCCTCAACTGGAAACAAGGACCAAGTCCAGCTCCTGACCCTGCACAGCATCATCCCAGGAATCTCACCGTGTGCCTGTGAGTATTGTCCAAACACTTCTTGAGCTCTGGTGCTGTGCCCGCTGCCCTGGGGAGCTGTTCCCAAAACACCCTCTGGGGGAAAAACCTTTTCCTGCTCCCCAAGCCAAACCTGCCCTGGCCCAGCTCCGGGCCATTCCCTCGGCTCCTGTCACTGTCAGCACAGAGAGGAGATCAGTGCCTGCCCCTGTTCCTCTCTCAGGGAAGCTGTGAGTGCACTGAGGGCTCCCCTCGGTCTCCTCCAGGCTGAATAGACCAACAGACCTCAGCCACTCCTTGCCTTCCCCCCCTCCAGACCCTTGTCCCTTCCCCTTTTTCCCCCACACTGTGAATATCCCTGTGGTGCTTTACAGCAAGCCCAAGCCCTTGGGTGTTTTTCAGACAATGCCAACTTCCCTTTCCTGGATCTCTTTTTGCAGCCGGCTGTATTACACATCATTAGCACTTGGGCATATTTTTTCCAGCCTGAATGTGCTGCTTATCAGTGTTGCTGAGATTATACTGCCACTGATGTTGAGTCTGTCACTGATCTAATACCACAGCTACAAATGTGAGTGTTGAAATGTTGGCAGCTTTCTGCTGCAGTGGGTGTATCTCGAGAGCCTCTAGACTTGCTGAAGTCACACTGCAGATACGCTCACGTCACTAAAAGTCTCTGCACCCTCTGTGCCTGTGACCTTTCTTCCTTCTGGAAGATGCAGTACAGGAACACAAAGTGGCTTTTGTTTCTCATGCTGGTTTCATGATTTTTATTTTTTTTTGTCCCCTGGATAGTTTTACTCCGATTGCTTGTGGACAGAAACCTTACACTTGGTATTGTATTTGTGTTAGGTATCCGTGTCAGTTGGTCAGACAGGAACCCACTAGCCAAATAAATATGAGAGAAAAGCAAATTTCTTTCATTTCCCAATTTTTTTTTTTAATAGCAAACTAGGCAAAGAGGATTAGCTCTAAAAGTGGCTCCAGTGAGAGAGAAAACTACAATGGGAGCAAAGTCCTATAAAAGATGAGTGAACCTACATAAAGCCACTGGCAACTTGTGTCTTGGTGCTCCCACTTCATGTAAAACATCTTATTTTTGTCTTGCTTTTCACGTTACATAGTTCTGCTGTGTTCCTTTTCTCAATTTGCCACTCTTCCACCTCCCAAATTCCTTTGATGTTGCCTTTCTACTTGGCCTACACTAGTGGTGGTGGCTACTTTGATCCTCTCGCTGCTCTGTTTGTCCTACCTGTTTAAGTGGATATCTATAGCATCAGATCCCTTTATCTCAGCAGTCTCCCCTGTAATCCAGAAGCATGTGTCTCACAGCTAATTCTATCTTACTCCAAATTCAGTTCTTATCTTAGTAATTTAAGTATCTATTTCCTCCTACTTCTGAGTAAAATAAAACCAGCCACAGAGGAACCTCTCTATATTCTCATTTTATCTGGGGTCCTGGATGTGCAAAGCAGCAGGTGTACACTGTTTCTTCTTTATCACTTGTTAATAATTCTGCTCAAAAGACAGTAAAAAAGGGCTTGATTTTTTTTTAATCTTTTCCCTTTGGTCAGTTATTGCTTTCAGTGCCTCCACACCTGTTCAATAAAGTGGTTTCTGGATTTTTTTCTCCCCAAGTGTCTAAGTCCTTTATCCTCTGTGTTCATTACTCTCTTGATGAATGTACTGTCTTGTTCTTGATATCATTAGCTGGCTGGCTTCAGCTGCATCTCACCTAGTGCACGTGTGGGTGACATGGCAGGACACTGCCACACTCCTGAACTCCTCTGGCTTTGTGTTAAGGCAGCAGTAGGGCCTTGTACACACAGACTGGAGTGTCCTCCCTGAAGCATCCTCCAAAGTGCCTCCTCCCAGCGCCTCTCCTTCTTTGCTCCGTGAGAAGGAGAACTCACACTGGGAAGGAAGACAAGCACTTGGTAGAGGAGCTTCATGCTTTGTCCTCTTGTAAACCACCCACCTCTCTTAGTCAGAGCCAGCCAGGCACACAAAAACAACAGGAGTGCCCCCCACACCTTCCACACAGGCACACAAAGCTATGAGAGTGGCTAAACCCACTTTCTGACACTCACTATTTCATCTTGGTCTTCCCACTCCACTTCTGAGAGATCTACGCTGTTGTAGTTCGGCTTCGGCTTCAGCTTCTTCCCTTCTTTATACTGGCATTAAAAAAAAAAAAAGAAAAAGAAAGAAGAAAAAGAAAGAAAAATATTCAAGTAAGAGGCTAGATCACTTCCTGAACTAACCCTTTAAGAATTGGTGTGCAATTTGAAAACAAGGGGTGTCTCATTTCTTCTCTGACTAGGAAGGCAGAGTTTGTGCGAGTGCCTTCTTGGTCCCATGTCATGTATTTCTTTATGCTGGCAGTGAGGGGCTAGGGGAGTTGCAGAGGGACAGGCTGCCCCAGGAGCAAGGGACAGACAGGAACACAGCTAAACTTACAGGGAAAGGCCTTCCTTCTCCTGAAAAGAGCAGTACAACACCTGTGCTAGAGGACATGAAGTAGGAAACGAGGGTTCATATCACAGCAGCTGAAATTTTATTTCTCAGGAGGCAAAGCCTTTATTTTGGGGTTTTCAACCTTTTTTAAAAGGTGTTCCCATACAGGTTAACCCAATTGGGACAAAGAACAACACCTCTCTCATCCCATTGGTGGGACAAGAGGAAAAACACTCTCAGAACATAGTTTTGAGAACTAAAATCTTATTTACACAACAGTCCTTGAGAGACAAAAATTTCCCAAAAGACTTTCCCTTGGGAAACAGATCAGCCACTGAGAGCCTGAAACTCTCAACACCCTTGTGCCTTGCCCTGCCCTGGAAATCCAGCATGTCCCTTCTCTTGGCACACTGCAGTGACTCCCGGTGCCTGTGCTCTCCCTCTTTGAAAGGTAAAAAGCTCCCTTTTTGAAAAGCTGCCTTTTTGAAAAGCTGCCTTTTCACAGCAGCTTTCTCTTGTGGTGGCCACACTCATGCTTGTAGCTGTGAGCAGGTGGATTTGTGCTGACCAGCACATCCGAAATGTAAAATCACTGCGTGCCTGGGCGTCTCAGCAATGAGGACAGCTGGCCCCGGTGTGTTGGAGGCCGGTGGCCTTCACAGCTCAAAACCCACGAGGAAATCAGAGGAAGCACTGAAAGTCTCTGTGTTCAAGTCAGCAAAGGTTCCCAGATGCACAGCTCTACGTACCAAAGGACGGAGGTCTGGGTGTGACAGGATGTAGCCGTTGTTTGTGTTCAGGAAGGCGTAGCCGTGGACACCCAGCTGGAGAAGAAGGCATGAGAATAATCAGTGCTTTAGCTAAAAACACTGCTGTGTAATGGGTGCTGCTGATACCCTGGCACTGCCAATACTGAGAAACATTTTCCTTTTAAAGATATTGACCAGCAGAAAATGGAGTCCATCCCAAAGCGAGTATCTGTCTGCTCTGTCTGTGCTTGGATGCACAAAAGGATGTGCAGGTAGTGGGTTCGTGTGCACATTCAGAAAAGTTATCAGCAGCCAGAGGCAGACTGAGCTGTTGGCAGGAAATGGGCAGTGATGGACAGGAACAGTGGTGACAGCTCTGTGTGCCCATCCCCACCCTGCAGAGCAGTGAATGAACAAGTGAGGATCAATCTCACAGACGGCTGCCCTGGAAACACGGCCAGGCTCCAGAGGAGCTCTGCATTGTGTTCCAGTGTTGGCAAGACGAGACCTAACCCTGGCCAATTGAACAAGCCTGTAGTCTTAAAATGCTTTTTAAGGAATAGCACAGTCTAACAAGAGCAGACACTGGCTGACCTGATCTGCGAGAGATTTCTGAGAGAGCAATTACTCAGCTCAAGCCCATATATAATGCAACTTCCAGCTACACCCTGAATTGCTAAAAACCTGCAGGTAGCCTGTGCTTGCCAAAACAAGAGGTGTCTCAAGGAAAACAACAATGGATAAAGTTTCCATCTTCAAAAAAAATGTTGCAACTCTATTTTCCTATAGAGACAATCTTGGAGGGATAACGGTAGGGAAGCGAGGAGGCAAGTCATTTACAATCTGTGCATTCAGGGGATCAATTCTGGCTTTCTCACATCCCAGACCAAAACCTTGGACCGTGTTCTGTGTGAAGCAGTTTTTTGAAAAACAAACTTGGCTTAACTCAGTGTGGCAAGAAGGAAACCAAGACACTGGATCAGCAAATTTCTTTTTTGGCCTATTAAAGCTGAAATTTCCCAGCCCAGTAAAAGCACAATCATTAATATACAAACTCCAGAGGTCTGGAACTCTGGAACTGGTCCTTTTGGAGCCCACATGATAGGGAATTCACGTTGAGGATCCCAGGTTTCCAAACTGGTCTGCAGTTAGAGGAGTTTCTGAGGAGATGTGTCCTACCACTGATATAATGAAATCCAAACTTTTTTCTCCCTCCTTTCCTGGCACTGCTTGGAGGAAAGAAGAGTGACCTTCCTTAGAAAAATCATTGCCCTTTGAGTGACATGGGGAAAGGGAGATGAAAAGGCATTATTCTTATACAGAAAAGAATCATATAAAAGTTGACCCAAAGCAGGCAGATTTTCATGCTGAGTGCAGGCAGCGACACTCACAGTTCCAGGCTTGTCTGCAGGATCATTTCCTACAGCTGCCTGTTAATGCTCTGCCCTGCATCCACGTCTGGAAGCACCACAGAAATCCACAGCTTCTGACAGCACTTCCAGTGCTGTGAGCCTTCAGCAATCAGATTTTGGACAACTGCCTCACTGGTAGTAGTTGTCTGATGGTTATTTAAGAGAAACCAAAAACGTGAAATGTTGGCTCAAATTGCCAGATTTCATGGTGGTCTTTGGATGTGCTCGTTGTCTCCTGCTGTGCAGCCTGACTGGACAAGGGGTAACCGCCTGGAATTTACAGCAGAAACCAAACTGTGCATCTCTGGGGGAATTTTCTGCAGATGAACATTTTTTTTTAAGATACATTGAAGACAGAGCTAATGGAAAGTTTTTTGACTAACAATTCTGGCAAGCAAATACTCTATCCAGGTACAGCACAAAGCGAGTGAGAGCCAACTTTCTGTACACTGTCCTGCCAAGAAACCATCACGCTGATCTGGAGAAAGGAACCTCTAGGCATGACAGGAGAGTTGGCTCCCCATAATCCATTCAGCCCTCAGCTTTTCTGCTAAGAATATTGACAGTGAAACGAGTCCATTTGTTTTGCCAGCTGGCACGGCAACTCTCGTCCACTGGGAAGAGACGAGATATAAAACTTTAATTCTCCTAACACAGGCTGTCACCTCTGAGGGATCTGGGTTGGTGACCATCAGGATGCAAAGGCTCCGTGACCTTTTGCCAACCTACTGGATCACCCAGTCCTTGTGCTGCTGAAGCAGCCTAAAAGCTTAGTAGTGAATAATTTCATTTGTGCCATATAGAAACCACACACCACTACATCCAACAACTCTTTCCTTAAGTTCATAGCTTTTCCTACAGAGCTGGAAGTGATTTTTCAGTCATGCCCATGGAAGTGCCAGTAGTGACCTTGCTGTGCAAAGGAAGCCATTGCAATTATCTCAGTCTTACCTTATACCGTGGAGCAAGTTTTAACAACTCCCTCAGCGGTACATCAGAGCCCACCACACCCAGGAGAATGCCATGGGATCGCTTTAAAACAAAGGAGAATCTGTTTTCAGAAGGAAAACCTGGGCAGTTTTCTACCTGAAGACACGTAATTGTCTCTCTAGTAGTCTCTCACCCATCCCCTCTTGGCTTGTGTGAAAGTGGTTATTCCAAACCAATTCAAAACTTAAAAAAGTCCAAATTTCAGTGTTTATGGAGAAGAGTGTTTCTACACAACACTAGTCAGTGTTCACTGCTGTGATTCAGAAGGAACATAAAATCACTGAAACAAGTTCTGAGGGCAAACCCCTGCATTCAGTATGTTTAAATACCAAGAAAATAATGCAAACCAGCATGAATGGGTTGATAAATTGGGCCAGCTAAATCAAATGCCAAATACAAAACGGTTAAACCAGAAAAAAGGAAATCCCCCCTCCAAGACATGGGGATCTGGTTGTTTAATAAGCATCTGGAGAGCACTATGGAAAAATTAAACACAGGCTCCCACTGCAGTGCTGTGCTAATGTGCTTTTCACAGGTGGAGAAGGCAGACAATCACTTGTAAGACCTGGATGAAGAGTTTATCCCTTGTACACCAATGCTAAGGTACCATTCTCCATTTTAAAAGGATGCTGAGAAATTAGAAATACTACAGGAAAGAGTGTTTTAAAGGGTTTCAAATCCCAGAGGAAATGCCCTTATCAAATCATTGAAATATTTCAATCTTTTTAATCTTATCAAGATAGGTTTGATTTTATGGCAGTGTAGAAGATGCTTCCCATGAGAATTTACTAAAGGGTATAGGCTTTTTAAGCTCAGGAAGCCATTATGACAGGAAGGTGAGGTCAGACAAATTAAAAGCAGAATTTAGACACCAGTTTTTCACTAAGAGATGGAGAGAGCTTGGGCCTGGATGTCTTTCTGCAATGCTTTTGCCAAAACCAGGGTATTTGGCTCGGCTGTGTGAGATGTAAAGGCCTGCAATAAAATGCAGACTAGACAAGGCAGTGATCTCTTCCAGCATGAAATTTCAGGGTCTGTAAACCAGGCAGGGTTTGAAACTGGAAGGGATAAAACAAGAAGTGTCATATTTAAGGGGTACTTTGAAGAAATGACGGATTATCATAAATGATCACCCATCCAGAGCTCTGCTGCCTTCCCTAACGGCTGGGTGTTGGTTCAGAGGCCCTCTGGCTACAGAACCCCGCAGAGTTCTCCCCCTTTGTGCCTCACTCACCGTCTCGTTCTTCTTGCTGAACACCGGCATGGCCACGGTGGTCATGAGCAGCAGGCTCTGCGCCTGCGAGGCAAAGAGCTGCCACAGAAACAGGAGTGTGTCAGCAAGTGTGGCACCCCAGGGAGCCCCATTCCCAAAGGTCCCAGGTGTGGGGTGCAAGCCACCACCTCCTGGCCTCCCAAGCCTCTTGGGAAACATGGCAGTGTTTTTAAATCCTCTGTGTCCGAGGGGGCTGTGGGATGGGTGCTTGCTGGTGTGGGGTGATAAGGATGGGGTGAACACCGGTGAAATGAGTTGTTTTAAGGAGGAGACAGGAACCTGTAGAAGTGGTGGCACAGTTTATACCCACCACTCCTTATGAGTGTAGACATGAACACTTCTATACAATGAGTGCAAAAAACACCAACACAAGCAGCAGAGAACAAAGCAAAGCAAATGTGAGCAAAATCACAAACACAGCATCAGCTACGCTGCAAACATATGAATGCCACAAATGAAAAACACCACAGACAAATATTTAAATGACACAAATACACACAAAACCTTGTTACAGACACTTGTTACTCAGCCATCTAAGCTCAGGGAAAAGAGACAAAGCCATGATTTAAACAGACACACCGCAGTGAGCTGTCTCTGTGGGGGATACAGGACATACATGTGTCATGGCTTAGGAGATGTTCCCAGTTCAACAGAGGACAGATGCTCTAAAAGCACATGAGAGGAGGTAAAACAGGCAAGCCATATACAAAGGTGTCTCCCAAACATGCCTAGCTATCAAAAGATTCTAATCCTTTGTTGCCAGCAGCATCACTCCTTCCACCTCTCGTTTGGTGGAGTAGCATGGCAAGAACTGACCTCCTGTCCCTATTACAGAGCAGGCTGGGAGATGTAGAGCAGCAAGTCAACAATCTAGTCACTTGATGGAGGTTTGGATTTGGTCTCTTGTGTTACTTCTCTGGATGATTTTTTGTGTAATCTTCCCTTTCACAGCAACACTCACACTAACACACAGCAAGTAAACTTCTCTTGCACTTACTGGCCATGTTGAAAAAGAGATCAGGTGAACTAAGCCACTGCACAACACAGACAGCCCTACCTACTCTGAACCAACAGCACAGCTCTCCAGTACATCCAGCATTTCCTCTCCTCTTCCTGCCAGTGCAGGAGGCCTCTGAGTGCTGCAGCCCCCCTCTCCAGATGTACAGGCCAGCTGTGGCTGTGCAGGCTGGCACACACCGCTGGCACAAACAGCACACGCACAAAACACAGGGTGCATTACCTCCTCAGACTGTGGCAGCTGGTGGGAGACATGGATGAACACATAAATGAATACATGAATGCAGGAATAAATCAAACACGGGACAGGTTGGGACAGAGGAAGAGGATGGCAAGACAAGAGACAAGATGCAGAACAAAAAAGGTGCAGCAAGCAAATGCCTGTGGCTGCCTTGGGAAGCATGACCCCACATACACCAAGTGCCAGAGCTGGCAAGTCTGCTGATAAAATAAACTTCCTGGGTAATTAGTAGCATTTCTGGAGGCTTTGGTTAGTACACACAAGTACCATGTCCCAGCCCTCATTTGGCAGTTCATGGAACAGAAGATATCCCCACATCACCCTCACAGAGCCAAATGTTCTCCCACAGGGCAGGCCTGAGACAAAGCAGGGGCATTGGAAGTGCTGACTGCCTGCTCCTTTGCAAGGTGTCCTTTTCCCACTGGGCTGGGCTCAGGACCACTGTGGTGAGTCAGGTCTTGCTAGTTTAGGCAAGGAAAGAGTGAAATCTGTATCTTTGTAACAATTTGCAGTTAGCTACTGGGCTGGAGGAGATCAGGCTAGGTGACCCTACCCTGAGCCATGAATAATCTGTGGTGTGAATAATCCTTCAGAAGGTAACCTGCTTGCACAGAAGCACCTCTTTGGTGACATTGTGCCTGTGTGATTAGCCCTGGGCACCTGAGTCACTGCAGATTCGTGTCTGAGTCTGCATACACCCCTCAGCTCCAGGAGCGAGCAGAAAACCAATATTGTCTCACTAGAGCCAAAGACAAGTAATTTCTATCAGCCAACCAACTCCTGGCTTGTTTTGCCTAAATTTCAGGACTTGATTTAGGTTTTGGCTCGTGCCTGAGGTCCTTACCGCGCTGTCCATGTAGGCCTCGGTCCAGATGATGTCGTGGTCGTGGTTGATGACCATGGGCCGGCTGAGCACGTGCAGGTACTCCATGACGTTCTCCTGGACATCTGCCAGCGTGGAGATTTGGGTGTAGTAGCCTTCATGGAGAAACAGAGGTGTGAGTCGCTCTGCTGACTCCTAAACGAGTGCAAAGCTAGAAAACTGAATGTCAAAGGCGCTGTCTACCCAGGTGGGTAATCTGCTCTTTGTAAAATGGGCCTTGACATGCCTCGTACCCAAAAGCATCTGTGGAAATCTAGAGTTTCAAAGCAGTGGTTGTGTTCTTCTAAAAATGCTGAAGCAACTTGCAGGACGAGACTCCTGACATAACCAGGTTTGTGCAAAGCAGATGCAAAGTGTTGCTTCAGGTCCTGGGAAAAACCTTCCCCTCATCAGACTGCCTTTAGTCTGGAGGGCCAAACATGCAAGCAAAGTTTTTCACCAGGCTACCCTCTTGCCCTGCCCTATTTTATATTATTTTATATTATTTTATATTATTATATATAATTTCATATTATTTTATATTTTTCATATATTTTATATTATTTTATATATTTTTCATATATTTTATATTATTTTATTTTATTTCATATTATTTCATATGATTTTATATGATTTCATATTATTATATATTATTTTATATTATTTTATTTTATTTCATATTATTTCATATTATTTTATATTATTTCATATTATTATATATTATTTTATATTATTTTATATTATTTTATTTTATTTCATATTATTTTATATTATTTTATTTCATATTATTTTATATTATTTTATATTATTTTATATTATTTTATTTTATTTAATATTATTTTATACTATTTTATTTTATTTCATATTATTTTATATAATTTTATATTATTTTATATAATTTCATATTATTTTATATTATTTTATTTTATTTCATATTATTTTTATATAATTTTGTATTATTTTATATTATTTTATATTATTTTATATTATTTTATATTATTTTATTTTATTTAAGACCAAATTCCTGTCTCCTCTCCCAGATTTTTTCCAGCACTCTTCAGTCTGCCTAGCTTTACATCCAAGGATGGCAACTACTTCCGTCAACACGTTGGAAGCAGAATAAAAAGTGCAAATTACCTATTTGCAAAGCTCTGTCCCTGCAGCTGGACCCACAGCAGTCTAAAACTACAACAAGGAGTACAGGGGAAGGATGTTCTCAAGTCACCAAAAGCTACTCAGAAGTAGCTGTTGGTTAGAAGTGCTAACACAGAGTAATGTCATGAGGATCCTTGTGTGCTGCTTCTCACCACGGGCATTGGTATAGGACAGAATTTATCAGATAGATGGAAAACTTTCCTATCACCAGGAAAACACTGTCATGTGAAAGGGCTCATGTTCTGATAAGCTTTGTGATGTGGAAGCAGATATAGCGTGCTCGAGAACAAGGACCAGAAGAGATACAACACATTGAAACAGAAGGACCAAAATCAGGGAGCCCTCTGCACAGCTCACATCCTAGAGGTCTCTTCCAACCTAGTGATTCTGTTGAATTCAGTTGAATTCTGTTCTGTTGAATGTGCAAAGAGCACATTTTTGTTACCTGGTTATTCAGAAGAAAGCATTCTGACATTTTACAGCGAACCAACAGTACCACGAATTCTCTGTCACTGATCTCCTGGCTAAACACACAAACTGAAAGCCAGGGGTTTGTTTCATTTAACAGAACCTAAAACATCTCACAGTGCTAATTAGATGAATGCTTGAGCCTTGAGCATCCCCAGCTCACAGACATCCTACAGGCCAGCATCTCTCCTGTCAACTGTTTTCAGCAGCAAATGTTCCCATGCTTTTCATGCTCTGCTGGAACCACTGCCTGGGCTGGAAAACAGTTTGTACCTGACAAGCAGCTTCAGTTTTCCCTGTTTAAACAGGACACTGATGTAACCAGCATTGCTGTCTCCAGAGGTCAGGTCATACCCAAACATGGATGGCTTTATTTCCCCCTCCCTTTCTTCCTTCACTCTTGCAGACTCTGACAGTGCTAACTTGACTTTTTAACTGGCCCCAGCTGCACAGAGGTGACTCACCTACTGTGGATGGATTTTCTCATTCACATAATTTCATGCCAGTTCGAGAGAACAGTGGGCTTGGGGTGGGATTAACAAGCTATTTCGGTACCTCAGTGAAAATCACTTACACACAAAGAATTTGGCCAGGATACAGGGGTTAACCTGCAGACCTTGTGAAAATTGCTGTAAAATCTTTAAAGCAGCAATGTTTGTTTTATATCTCAGCCAAAAGATGTCAGGCTCTCTGACAGAGCTTTAGACAGATTGTCAAAAGCCAGCAACTGGGACACAATAAGCACAGGGGACTTAGGTGGACTAGAGCCAGCATGAATCTCGGTCATAGTGTCCCTTGGCACGGGGACAGGAAAATGCAGTGGCTCAGCACAGAGGACTTGCGTTAGTTGGACACAGGCACACTTCATGTGGGCCAGCAGGGTCTGCTTTTCCCTTAGGTTGTCTTCCAAGCAAGGGCTGGTGGGCCCCAGCAGAGGTGGGGGAGCCTCGGAGGGGTGCAGGGAAGTTGGGCACCTTTGTTGTTGCAGGCGATCCATTTGACGTTCGGGGCAAAAGTGACCTCCCGTCCAATGAGGTACGTGAACACCCGCACCTAGAGGGGTGCAAAGACAGGAGAATCAGGCTGTGACGTGCTAGCAAATCCAAATGGTTGAAGTTTGGCATCCCCTTGTCCGCTGGTGTGGATGTGGTGAGAGCAATAGCCCTGCCTTCAGAGGCAGGAGCCTCTCGCACCGTTCGTTTCCTGGTTTGTGGCCTGGAACTTAATTTGCAATTACAGTAAGCCCAGAAAGCCAAGCAGCACCCGGGATCATCTGAATAACAAAGCAAAAGTGCAAATTCTGTGTGATTTTATGACAGCAGCTCTGCCAGGCAGCTCAGCAACCACATGCAGAGAGGTTTATAGCTCCCAGGAATCCTCCACCCAGGGGAACAGCTGGCCACATGAATCATTTAGAGAGAGCTTTACCATTTCTCTTGTGTTTGACCACCAACAAAAGAACCAATCCTGAAATAAACTGTTTTATCAGCCCCCTGCTCTGGTCTCTCAGTAGGCTTCTCTCCCTTTGTGCATTGCTGCTAGCTGGGGTGAGGTAAACAAATAAATCAGGAGGGTTTAGGATGTGCAGTGGTCTATTCCACTTTCACAGCCAGCCCTGCTAGTCTGCAAGCCTGTAATCACAGACATCAGAGTAATCAGGGCTGGAAGGCACCTAAGAGAGGCTGTTTGGATCACTCCCCTGGCCACCATAAAAACTCAGAATAGCCAAACCTCTCCTGAACAGGACCAATTATAAACAGTCCTGCATGGCATTAAAACTCTTAGCAAAAGCTGGTTTTGAATTTTGAAATACTCAAGTCTTTATAATCTTATCAGGAGAACATTTTGATTGCCCACACCTTTAGAAAACAAAGTGTATGAAAAAGAAAAGCTCCCCTGACCTAGAGATTATGCATCTGTAATCCTCTCACTTCAGGAACCACCTCCTGCTTTGTTTGCATTTACAGTCAGGTGCCCGTGGGTATCCAGGTACTGGAATGTGTGAATGCTTGGCTTTGCCTGATATCCTGGCTCGTGCTCTTCTACTGCCACCCCAGCAGAGAAGCTCCTTTCCCCTCCCTTTCTATTTCTCCATTTATTTCTATGTCTATCCCTTCCCAGACCAACCTTCCGATCGGGCCAGTTGTATTTTTCAAACACAGCTTCGTAATCCTCCACGGCTCCGTCGGTGATCAGCATGATGGCTTGGTTACACAAACCTCCTTGGCCAGCATCTCTGAACTGCAAACAGAGGGGGAGAGCACTGCTTATCCCAGCACAGGCCCATTTTGAGGAGCTGCACTCTATTTATTCACTATATTCTATTATTCTATATTCTATATATATTCTATTTATTTGCAGGCCAGATCCTGACTTCCACTTGCAAAGCTCACGCTGCTCAGAAAGGAGGTTGTGCTCACATGCTGCATACAGGTTTTTTAAATTTATACAGCCCTGCCTGGCACATGCAGACACAGGAGGCTTTGCAGAAGTAAAGTAATGAGGAGAAAATAAGTGCTGTGGAGGAAGGGTGAGATTCCCTGCTGCTTCACATCTTGCACAGTCGCATTAGTTTATGCAAAACAACTATAGATTGACCATAAACACAGCACTTCTGATTTGACAGCAGTAACTGTCACTTTCTGTGGCAGAAAATGTGAGAGGAGTGGGAAATCAGACTCATTGTTTCAGGGTGAATCTGTCAATCCAACATAGAATAGCGAAGAAAGGCAGGAGCATAGGAAGAAAGAGGGCTACTGCCATGGGAGCTGGGCAAGGTTCTGGATGTGCCAGGTAGAGAGGCCGTACACTGGCACGACAGATGACCTGTTACCTGAGCATAAGTGAGATTTGAGGCAGAGCAGGAGTGCTAAAGCCAGCAGCAGAGGCAGCTGAGGGCATCCCAGGGACAAAACTGAGCACTTGGCTGCAGCTGCCAGCTCGGTGGCACTCTGTGCTTCTCGTCCTGCCTCTCACTGCTGCTGTGCTCGGAGCAGGAAAAAGCCTGGCCAGCACAGAAAGTGATGCAGAGCTAAAAAATGATGGGAAGGAGGAGAGGTGACAGCCCTCCTGCTAACAAAGATTAATGAGAGGCAATAACATGAGATGAAGAGTATACAGGAGACCAGCTGAAGGATGACTAAGGTTACATCAAACAGCAATGATTTTAAACTGGAGAGGGTAGTTATATTTTATAAATGAGAAAAAAGGTACCCAAGTGGCAAGATGGATTGCATCGAGTGAAATCCCAGGATGGGAGAACAAGAGCACAGCCCGTGAGCTGGGAGTTTTTAGATGTTTTAGGGTTCAATTCCCAACTCCTTTTGGATTTGGGAACAAGACAAATGCCTTTATCCCCGTGGCTGGTCTGTGGTTCCCCTGCAGGTTAACATCATGACCAGGAATACCTGGAGGCCAGCTCCAAGCCCAGATTTCCCCAGTAACTTCATCACTCTTGCAATTGCACTGCAATGGTCCCTCTTTATGAAATGACCGGGTTCAGTGCTAACATCACCATAACCTCACCTTCTGCTACCATCTCTGTTATCAGTCCTGCCTCCTTTAACTTCACCCAGCACCTGCAGGAAGGGTGGATTCAGCAGCTTCTGAATGACCACAGGCACAAAGCCCTCTTCTGGCTGTGCCCCTGCCTGTATCACTGCCCAGAACCAGCAGAGATGATCAGCAGTGAGAGGGGATGCTCTAATAGGGTCATTTCTAACTAGCTGCTGCCAGGTGAAACATCACTGGGGAACACCACAGTCAGGATGAGGTGTCTCCTCCTCTCTGGTGTCCCCACAGCAGCGTTCACAGGCAGTAAAGGCTGAGGGTGCACAACAGGGACAAGCACGGGGTGAGAGCCACGTGGGATTCTGCTAAAGACCAGCAGGTAGGAAAAACCCAGAGCCTCAAGTGAGCTGTTTCTAGGGCAGAGATCAACTGGGTGCAGATTAGCAGAGGGAGCAGCATGAGTGTCCACCAGGAAGGCACAGGGTGCAGGAGATGCTGTCAGAACGAGCTCAGATCACAGATATATGAACCTTGTAGTTATGAAAGCAGCTTATTCCAAACTGCTGCAATCTAAAGTATGTCTGGTTAGGTTATTATTAAATTAACACTTAATTAAGGTCGCCCACCATTTCATCAAACCGCTTAAGATTTCTTCACGAAGCTTACTTCAGAACTCATAATACCGAGTTTCTGAGAAATTAGGTGCTGTATCAGAACCAGCAATCTCCCAATTACAGGAGTAGATGATATTTTCAACAGGGAAAATAAGATCATCAGTGTCATAGAAATGGAGATTAAAAAGACAGATTTAGTAAACAAACGAACAAGAGGTAATCCCTGGTTTTTAGGTCCTTTGTGACTGGCTGCAGCTGTAGCAAATGATCTGACAGCATCCACAGCAAGCTCTGAGCATAATTCCCTGCTCTGACTGAAGTCTCAGGAGCGTGAAAGAAGGGGAGATGAGGAATATCACGTCCACAGAAGAGATGGCTGAAGGAATTCAGGCTAGAGCTGGGTCAGTGAAGGAGGCACAGTGCTCCGTCTTCCCCCACATAACTTGAGTCATGTTGCCAGGACTAACAGGCATGATCTAATTAATTCAGGGTCACAGTCTCTTGTACTCCCTTGTTTGCTCCCTGCCTTCCACTCTGCAGTCAGAGGCTGGCACAGAGCTCTGAGTGAAGCATGAGGAACCATCAGCAGCGCTCAGAGATGTGCAGGCACACATCTGGGACTGAGCAGGCCCTCTCCATCTCCTCCTGCCCCCTTTATTCTGCAGGCCTGCCTCTGGAATGGCCTCCAGAACTGCTGGAAATTCAGACTTGGTGCAAAGAGTCTCATGAGGAGAAAATAGGCAGTAAACAAGAAAACAAAGCCAGTGAAGGAGAAACAAGAAAGGGCATTAAGCAAAATAGCGGGAACTGGTAAACAGGAAATTCTGAGCTTTGAATATCCTGAAAAATATGCTGTAGGACCCAGGTCCATAAAAATGTGACTGGAATCAAGAAACAATTCCTAATTCTTCAATTCTTCAGAGAAGAAGCAAGAAAAGGAGTAAAAATAATATGATGCCAGATGATAAACCAGAGGGAGATGGTCAGGCAGAGATGCTTTAGAGCCTCCATCCTTTATCATCAAAAGGAAAATATTGTAATGGCTGGATGCCTGCTGAAGTGATAAGAAGCTAAGAAAAGAATGAATGAATTAGAGGCAGGGTCACAAAGTGGAAGGGTTAAAGAAAAAAACTAATTGAAAGCATTTGAATAATCTGTGCTCAGCATGAAGGGAAAGAGTTGCAGAAGGTGTAGCTGAACTACTTGCCTCATGGGCTGAGGCCTGACTGGGATTATACACGATCCCAAAGGATGAAGAGGGAATCAACAGAAAACCCAGAAAATGGATGGATAGACTGTCCTTAAACATCTAGCCTGCTGCTAGAAAAGTCAGTAACACATGCATCTTGTGGGTTTGTAAATGAAGTACACACAAGTGAGGCATGAGAGGCCACAAACCTTTGTTTCCTTAAATCAGCACAAAAGTTCATTCTTTTTATGGCACCTGTTTGCTCAGTTTACTCTGAATTTTATGTCTCACTGAAATCCAGTCTGTTACCAGTTTCATCATCTTTTTTCCACCTACAGCCATTCAGGAAGGACCCACTTGATCAGCTACAACGTTTATGAGATTTCTGAGTCAAGGCATGATGAAATCAGCCTGGTGGTGAGGGGAAACACCATTCCAAGGTGGCCTTGGAAAGCAGAACTTGGCTTTTCTTGCCCTCCACAGGGTGGGAAAAGCAACAGCTTTCAAAATACTTGCTCTGAGCGTATCCTGAGAAAGGAGGACAGATGTAGATTGGAAAGGAGAGGCAGTGGCTGGAAGACAGAAGAGGAGGGTGGATGCTGCCTGGGGAGGGAGGCTGCAGAGACACATCAGCTGGATAGGAATTACCAGTGTGACAGTGCCTGAAAAAAAACAAGCCATAGCTGTTGTCTTATGTCCTGTTAAGAGGACTAGGGTGTGTAAAACAGGGAAGGCAATTATTCTGCTCTGCTTAGCACCTGATAGCTCTCAGCTGCAGCACTCACGCTGTTGGGAGGATGCTGGTCCAGGGGAGACAGCATGGAAGCACAACAAAGGGGTGTAAAATGCTGCAGGAAAAAGGGGACAGAACAAGGCAGGCCAAGCTTGTTGGAAGAAGGAAGAGAGCAACGAGATAGATTAAAACTTAATAAATAAGAAAAGACCTCAAAAGACAGCTCTTGACGCCCGAGAATTTTGAGGCGCGTCATAAACGCGCGCTCGAGACCGTGGTTTCCCCGGGCTGCATATTTTATTGAAACCACTTGGTTTGTGGCTAAATCGAAATGGAGAGTTCAAATGGTTTATTGAGCATGGCAGAGAGGGACAGGAGGGTCTCTGGCACTGGTCTGCAAACTGTGTCACGGATTAAAAGATGCCCTAGCTCCCCCAGATGAAAATGGAGGAAAACAAAGATTTGTGCTCTTCTTCAAGCCCTCTTTGCTACTCACACCTCATTGAGTAGGTCTCTGCTGGGCTATTAATTCTGTGAGCAATTGGACTGGGGAGAATTAGCAGGGAAATCTCGCAGCCACTTTCATTACAGATATTATTGCTGGCTGGCTGCTGTAATCAGCAAAGCCTTTTCATCAGCGGGATGTGGCAATTTCCATTCTCCTGCCTGTGCTCCCGTGAACAATAACAGCAGAGCCTGTGAGGAACAGCTGACAGTGGGAATTTTGTCTGATGAGAAGGGGGTGGCCAATTCCACCAAAGTTCCCCTTTCTCCTGACTGTGACTGCACAGATTTTGACCAAAACCCTTTTCCTTTGCTATAAGCGACACGGGTGTGAGAATCTCGAGGAGATGATTCCAGAGAGCCCTTAGGCCACACAAGCACTGGGCAGGGGCACCCTTTTGCCTTAAGCTGAGGTTCTTGCAGAGCCTGGGGTGCTCCAGCTGCTGATTTTAAGGTGCTCTGTTTCACACATTTCTTTGGTGACCAAGACACCGTTTCTGAACCGCTGTTTTTTGGATCTCCACGGCACAGAAGAACAAGACACCTTTTCTCATCTGCAGGTGCTCAGATGGCTGAGCCTCCTCCCCAGGGTGAGAGCAAAAGGCATGAGGGAGGCAGTGCTTCACCCTGTGAGGGACTGACAGCAGAAGGTTTCATCACCACTGGCTGCTGCACTGCCCAAGAGCAACCTCAGAGATGTTTTGAGCTCATCAGGCAAGACAGAATCAACAGGAATCAAGATAAGTGATGACTACTGAAATTTCTGACTGCATTTTTGAATGCTAAATAGAGAGGAAGAACAAATTCTTTATCCACCAAGGAGTTTCTTCTCTATTATTGCAGTGGAATCACATTAGTCCACTGGGGCAATGCTCTCTCCCTGGAGGTATTTTTGGTTCAATTACATCAGGGCAGGACACATTTTGTCTCAGCTTTTAAAGCCCCTTCCAACCCAAGCCCTTCTATGATTCTGTGAGCCACAATCCCACTGTAGGCAGTGCCATGAGGGGATGGGGGGATTCAGCTGGTCCTTTTTCTGGTTACCATTCCTTAAGAATCAGAATTAAATTGTATGTTTACCTCCAGGCCACTGAATTTCCTATTCACACGAGGCAGTGAATCATTTATGGTTCTTGTCAGAGGAATTAATTCTCCTGTACCTGTGATTTCTTCCCCAAGCACTGATACTCAGCATGGTGACATTCCACACAAGCATCAGCACCAGCTCTTACCTCTCTCAGGATTTTGAAGGACTCTGTCAAAGCCTTGCTCACAGTCCCCACTCCTTTTGCCTGCAGTTCCTCCACCAGCTGCTTGAAGTGCTGGCAAGGAGAGGAAAAACCAAAAAAAAACCAGGAATGAGTTGCAGGCAGGGTGTTCCCTTTGGTCAGGGCAGGAAAGGGAGCCCAGGAAAGGCTGTGCCCACACAGCTCCGGCAGGACTGCATTTCTCACCCTCTGGACCACTGACAATCCATTTCCAAAACCACTGGAAATCTGACTTTGCCTTATCTGCTCCTTCTGGGAAAATACCCAAACCCATCCTGTGCACCCAAAAACAACAGGATGGGGGAAAAGGAAAGGAAAGGAAAGGAAAGGAAAGGAAAGGAAAGGAAAGGAAAGGAAAGGAAAGGAAAGGAAAGGAAAGGAAAGGAAAGGAAAGGAAAGGAAAGGAACGGAAAGGAAAGGTGCGGAAAGGAAAGGAAAGGAAAGGAAAGGTGCGGAAAGGAAAGGTGCGGAAAGGAAAGGTGCGGAAAGGAAAGGAAAGGAAAGGAAAGGAAAGGAAAGGAAAGGAAAGGAAAGGAAAGGAAAGGAAAGGAAAGGAAAGGAAAGGAAAGGAAAGGAAAGGAAAGGAAAGGAAAGATCAGGAAGGTAAGCTATG